CAGCAGTGTTTGGGTTGTTTTCCCTTTTTTTTTTTTTCGATAGCCTGAACTTGGGGGGCCAACGTATATTTCCACTTGCCCTACAGTCCGGTTTATATGGTAGGGGGCATAGCTCGGGATACTCACTCATGAGTACACTCACTCACACTCATTCATACTCATTTGAACATGGTGAGTGTGAGTATGAGTGAGTACTGATGAGTATGAGTAGGAGTGAGTAGAACGTGAGTGAGTACTCATGAGTATAAGTAAGAGTGAGTGTGGATGTGAATGAGTACTTTCAGTGTGAGTAGAAGTGAGTATGGACGTGAGTGGGTGCTCATGAGTGTGAGTAGGAGTGAGTATGAACGTGAATGAGTATTCTGAGTGTGAATAGGAGTGAGTATGAACGTGACTACTCTGAGTGTGAGTATAAGTGAGTATGAGCGTGAGTGAGTATTGTGAGTATGAGTGAGTATGAATGTGAGTGAGTACTCATGAGTGTGAGTAGATGTTAATTTGAACGTGAGTGAGTACTCATGAGTGTGAGTGTCCGTAAGTATGAACGTGAGTGACTATTCATCATTGTGAGTAGGAATGAGTGAGAGCTTGTGGCTTGCGAGTGTGAGTAGGAGTGAGTACGAACGTGATTACTCTGAGTGTGAGTAGGAGTTTGAACATGAGTGAGTGCTGATGAGTGCAAGTATTCGTTAGTATGAACGTGAGTGAGTATTCATGAGTGTGATTAGGAGTGAGTGAAAGCTCATGAATGTGAGTAGGAGTAAGTACGAACGTGGGTGAGTACTCATGAGTGTGAGTAGACTTGACTGCGAAGGTGAGTGAGTTGCTGTGAGTGCGAGTAGCAACGAAAGGAACATGAGTGAGTTACTATGAGTGTGATAAATATTTGTAACCATCGCAACAGCGTCCTCAATACGTTGGAAATAACGGGCATATGGCATGCAAGCTTCCTGTACGTAAAAGCCTTCAGTTAGTTTGGAAACTGGGGGAGCCATCCTACATCAGATGGGGCGGGGGGGGGGTGAGGTGACCGCGCAAAACTCGAGTTGAGAGTAGCCGTCGATTTTATTGTAATTTGAATTTTCTAGGCTGAATAACTTTGAACTGCCTGTTCCTATAGCTACCGTTCTTGCTGCACTTGCCTCTTGCGCTTCAGTCTACGCAACGTGCTGATTATACATGTAAAACAACGTCTTGAGAAGCCCTTTAACGAAAATCGCCATGCGAGCCGGTTCAGAAAAAAGAAATGCACTGCGCAAGTGACGAAAAAAAAAAAGAGCTGAAATGGCCCGCGAGAGAAAGCACTTTGTGTGCGCTCCGCACATTGTGCGCAGCGATTTTGCAGTTTCTATCTTTGCGTTGTCCCACAAGTGAAGGTTGCCTTGAACGAAAACCTTAAGTGATCTCATGACCTCTCAAGCGCGAAGCTGTGTGCAAACTTCGCCTTCTCAGTTGCCCATTAAGAAAAAAAAAAAAAGGGAAAGCTTGGAGGACGGTAGAGCTTCGCCGTCAATAGTATAGTATGCAATAGGGTAATCGGACCCTGTTCGCATCGCCGTTTCAATCTCTACCCTCGTTTCACTTTTCGGCGGCTTATTATGCCTTCAACAGTGCAGACACAATGTGCAATAAGCGCCCATTCACCCCTGATAATTTATTCTATCATTCACATAACGCGGGCTAGTACAAAAACACACTTAACGCAACTCGTTAATTACCGTTTCATTCGGCTGTCTGCGATAACCCTGCGTACGCACACTGCCAATGAACGTTAACCGCGTCCGCAGATTCATAAATAAGGCCCCCTGCAATCGTCAGTGCCGGCACGGAGCCAACGAAGTCTTCGCGTGAGCGCGACCCACAGAGGAAGGAAAACATCTTCGAAGATGCGCACAATTTCTCGAATGCAAAACTGCCGTACGCAACGCATTCCATCTGAAGGCGGGGCAGAAAGGGGAGGCGCCGTCTCGACGGTCGCGCCGGGCCACAGAGCACCTACCAGTGGCCGGGCGGCCGGACTGGCCGAGGTGCCCCGGCGCCCGCCTGTCCCGCTAGTGCAGTCAGAAGGGGCTATGGGCAGTGAAACGAACGAAGCGGCCGAGCCAGGTGGCATGGTAACGTCTTGGGTTCTGGCGGGTAATCATAGCGGCGGCCCTGTAGTATACTGAAGCTGTCGAGAGCGTCTCTATTTCACGCGCGTGCGTCGTAGCCTACGAAAGCACGTTTTGAGTGCTTGTAACACATTACTGAGATTCTGAACGATGTCTCAGCGTCTCCTGCGCGTCATGGCACACAAATGAATGTGCAGGTGCGTCGTAATTGCGCTGAGTCATTGCCTGTTTGTGGAGCCTACCGACCCTAAAAGAAAGCGACAATTGTTAAGCTCGATTGTTTCTTGAGTAACCTAAGTACACGTTACGCAACCTCAATGTTAATATTCATCATCGGCCTGACAACGTCCACTGCAGGACAAAGGCCTCTCCTATGATCCGCCACTCAACTCGGTCCTGTGCTTGCTGCTGCCATTATGTACCCGCGAACTTCCTAATCTCATCTGCCCACCTAACTTACTGTCTCCCCCTAACCTGTTTGCTTTTACTGAAAATCCGGTCAGTTATGCTTAATGACGAGCTGTTGTCCTGCCTACGCGCTGCATGCCCGGCCCATGTCCATTTCTTCTTCTTGATTTCAATTATGATATCCTTAACCCCCGTTTGTTCCCTGATCCACTCTGCTCTCTTCTTGACTCTTAAGGTTACAACTACTATTTTCCTTTCCACCGCTCTCTGCGTCGCCCTCAATTTAAGCTGAACCCTTTTTGTAAGCCTCCAGGTTTCTGCTCAGTAGGTAAGTACCGGCAAGATGCAGCTGTTATATACCTTCGTCTTGAGGAGATAGTGACAATCTACCAGCCATGAGCTGAGAGTGCTTGCCGAATCTTCTCCACCCCACTCTTATTCTTCTAGTTACTTCGGTCTCGTGGCTCGGCTCCGCAGGTACTAGCTGTCCCAAGTAGACGTACATACCTTTTCCAACTTCAAGTGCACTGCCACCTATCTCGAAGCGCTGTTTTCTTTCGAGGTTGTTGTTCATTACTTTCGTTTTCTGCTGGTTATTTTGTAGATTCCAAGAGAAGGGAAAAGGGGAAACAAAGTTTGGTAGGCTGATGAGATTAGGAAGTTTGCGGGTATGAAGTGGCAACAGCAACCAAAGGACCGAGTTGACTGGCGGAACAGGGGAGAGGCATTTGTCCTGCTGTGATGATGATGAGTATGTGAATGTAAAAGTACGTGGGTGAGTGCGCCTGAGTATGGGTAGGCTTAAGTATGAAGGTGAATTCTTATGTGAGCGTGGAGTTGAGTGAGGGCTTATGATCTTGAGCAGGTGTGAGTATGAAGGTGAGTGAGTAACTATCAGTCTTAATTGAGGTGCACGAAAAATTGAAGTACAAAAAGGAGACACCTGGACACGGCGTGATGTCTCGAGGCGTCTTTCTTTTGTACTTCAACTTTTCGCGCACCTCAGTTAATATGAATTACCAACTCGCCCAGCAGTCCGTGTTTCTCTTAGAGTGTGAGTAGTCGTGTGTATGAACGTGAGCCATGAACAATGAGTGTGAGTAGGCGTGAGTATGAACGTGAGTGACTGTGAGTAGGCATGAGTATGAACATGAGTGCGTACTCATCAGTGTGAGTAGTCGTAAGAACGTGAGTGAGGGCCTATGAGTGCTAGCTGGCGTGAGTGTGAACGTGAGTGAGTACTCACAAGTGTGAGTAGTCATGAGTATGAAATGATTGAGTACTCATCAGTGTGAGTAGTCGTGAGTATGAATGTGAGTGAAGGCCTAGAGTGTGAGTTGGCGTAAGTTTGAACGTGAGTGAGTACTCGTGAGTATAAGAGTGAGTATGAACGGGAATGAGTACTTCCAGTGTGAGTAGAAGTGAGTTTGAACGTGAGTGAGTATTCAGGAGTGTGAGTAGGAGTGAGTATGAACGTGAGTGAGTACTCTGAGTGTGACAAGGAGTCAGTATGAACGTGAGTGAGTACTTTGAGGGTGAGAAGGAGTGAGTATGAATGTGAGTGAGTAGGAGTGAGTGTGAGTAGGCGTGAGTAAAAACGAGAGTAAGTACTTTGAGTGTGAGAAGGAGTGAGTATGAACTTTAGTGAGTACTCATGAGTGCGAGTAGGCGTGAGTATGAACGTGAGTGGGGGCCTATGAGTGGGAGTAGACGTGAGTATGAACGTGAGTGAGGGGGAAGGCTGAAAAAATTGTGGTGAGTGGGTATGAGTGAGTAGTCTCTCAAAGTGCCGACCTATGGGTAGGGGTCATGTGGTGGGGTCCGTGTGTTTTTCTTGTGACCATCGCAAGCTTGTGTTCGATTTCTCTTGTGTACATGGTATTGTGTGTTTTTTCTTGTGACCATCGCAAGCTTGTGTTCGATTTCTCTTGTGTACATGGTATTGAGTGTTTTTTCTTGTGACCATCGCAAGCTTGTGTTCGATTTCTCTTGTGTACATGGTATTACATCAAGTCTCTCAAAGCTTGCAAAGCACTGTGTGGTTCATACAAAATTTAATTCATTTAGTAAAACTTTTCTTTAGCTAGTTGATACATGCTTACTGAAATACAAAAGACACGTACCATCGAGGAAGAAAATTGAGGACAGAGCAGAAAGGGTGTCGCTCGGAACTAACTTTATTCTTAGAAGATCAGCGAAATGTAAAACCGTAGCAACCACGCTTTTGTGTGCTGCTAAGCAGCTGTAAATTGCTACGGCTGTGGTTTCAAGCGTGGAGATTAAGTTTAGAGCAGTAGCGCAATGAATCGCATTGACGACAACTGAGCAAGGCGGGACGCAGCGCTAACGTTGTGCTCCCGCTCTGTCCTGCCTTTCCTTGTTTCCGTCTGCGATTCTTAGCTCCACTGTTCCAAGGGGCGAAGACAAAGGTTCTATGTTTTTTCTCTCTCTCTCTCTCTCTCTTTGTTTTTGTGGTTGTAGGAGGAGCATGATGATGAGGATGACTGGAACCCATGCAAAGCAGCTGGTGTCTGCCTTATGCTGATGGCCAGCTGTTGCGAGGACGATATGATTTCCCACAGCCTGCCTTTTGTACGGGAGCACATCAAGCATCCCGACTGGAGGTATCGAGACGCTGCAGTCATGACATTCGGTGAGTACTGCATTCATTTTCATCCAATTACAGTGGACTCCCAATAAACGAAACTCGCTTAAATGAAAGTGCCTCATTAATGGAACTAAACGGGCTCATTTGGCTGGATTTCTATGTGTTGCGTAGTAAAATTAATCGGTTAATCGAAACGGTGCTTATTGGTCATCTACGGTTAAACGGCACAAACTCTAAACACAGCACAGACGCGCTCAGGCCAAAGGTAGTCTCACAACCATGGCAACACCTCAAGACAAGCCAATCCAGTAGCCATTCTCTCTTGAAGTGGCTGTGGGAGCCGAGTCGGCGAGTCAGTTGTGTGATAGGCCTATTTGTGCAGCTAAGTGAGGTGGACCACTGTGTTATTTCAGCCTGATAGAAAGGAAGTGGCCGCACCATGCACTCTAGCTTGAAAAAAAGCTGCAAATTCTTCAGGAGCTCGATCGAAGCGGCGTGTCCAAAATGGAGGTGGCGAAAAAATACAACATCCCGAAATCGACGCTGTCGCGGATCTGCAAAGACGGAGAAAAGATTGAAGGCGCTTTAAAGAATAGGATTTTTACATCTAAACAGACGCAGATGCAGACGAAGCCTTATGAACAACTAGAAAAAAGTTTTTTTTCTGTGGTTCAAGCGTGCACGTAGTTCCAATTACCCATAAGCACACCAATTCTCGAGCAGAAAGCTTGAGGGATCGCCATGCGAATTGTTGTTGAGAACTTCGTCCTAAGCGACGGGCCGCTCAGCCGCTTAAAATCGTTCCATGGCCTAGTCTTCAAAGCAATCTCGGGTGAGAGTGCTGCAGTCAACAGGCACATTTGCACCGACTAACAACAAAGCGGCTTATGAAAATTTTGATTAGCTTTGAGCCACGAGACGTCTTCAACTTCGACGTCGCCGAGATTGGTCTCTTTTATAAGGTGCTTCCATCGAAGACTCTCGCCTTCAAAGGCAAAGCCTGTAGTGGAGGAAAACGCAGTAATGATCGCATAACTGTGCTGGTGGGTGCAAACATGGCAGGAGATGAGAAATTGAAGCTGTTAGTAATCGGAAAATCAAGGCACCCACGTTGTTTCGAAGGCATTCAACACCTTCCTGTTGCGTACCATGCGAACAGAAGAGCGTAGATGACCATGGTCATTTCCGAAAACTGGCTACGGGAAGAAGACACAAGATTTACGAGGCGAGGTAGGAAGGTTGTCTTCATTGTGGATGATTGCCCAGCCCACGGTGAGGTTGAAAGACTTCAAGCCATCACTCTGGAGTTCTTGCCAGCCGATGCAACGGCAGTGATCCAGCCAACGGATCAAGGGGTTATTCGGAATATTAAAGTTCATTACCGCAGACAATTGCTCCATCGAATGCTGCTTTATGCAGACAGCGGGAAATGCTAAAGCATAGATTTATTGGCAGCCATCCACATTTTGGCTCGTGCCTGGGGGGGGGGGGGGGGGGGGGGCAAGTGGAGCCAACAACGATGCGCAGATGCTTTCATCATGCTGGCTTTCAAGTGAAGAAGCAGTACCTAATGAAGAAGAAAGCGCTGCTAATGCCAACATTGAGGGAGTATTCAGTAAGGTCGTGCCCTCTGCCACTTTCATATTGCAGGACTACGAATCAATTGATGAAAATGTTCGTCCCTGTCATGAAGAGACTGTTGAGGAAATAATTGCTGTAGTGCGAAATGAGGATCAACCTTCCAGCAATGAATGTGATGACAACATTGCTAGTGCAGTGGTGCCACCAGACTGATCAGCTAAAGAGGCTGTTGAACTTTTGCAGCACTATTTTGAGCATGAGACTTGTCCAGAATTTCTGGCTAGTTTGTCAGGCATGGGTGCATACCTTGTGAAAAAACAACTCAAGCTTGCCAAACAAACCACCCTTCATTCCTTTTTTTTCTCCTACTCATCCTCATGAGTAAGGGGAGGTTTGTGCAATTTGAATAAAATTTTTGATTCACTAAATAAGTGTACTTTGCTTAACTGAAACTACTGATAACAGTTTTATGGAACCCCCCTCGAGTCCCGTTTAAGAGGAGTCGATTGTAGCTGGTTCCTACAATACTCACTCTGAAGATACAGACATGGGGCACAATTGCCAACGTCGTGTAGGGCTTCACAGCTTGTGCTCTCCTTTTAGGCGAAATAGAACATCCACAACGATCCACATATTTGATGAAGTTTTGAGCCCCTTTACCATACGGTGTGGGCTTTGTTTTGTCTAGTGAAGAGAACAATGAGGCCCTTGTTAGTTCAAAGCTTTGTTGTCAGTTTCTTCCTTAGTGTACGCTCAAACCTCAATGTGATGAATCTGGATGTAATGAAATATTCGTTATAAAGAAGTAAATAAAAAAGTCTTGCAATAAGATAGTGTTAGGAATAATCTTTATAGGGAATTATCGGATACGACGAACTTATTTTTTTGTTATGAAAAAGTCTGAGTGTATATTAGTTTTGAGTAATTGTGCTTTCTTATATAGCATGTCTGCATGAAAATTTTTTGAAGAATGTTTTCTGGGCAGTAAACATGCTTTTTTTTTTTTAATCCAGAATCCTCCTATTGAGGTATTAAGTAGCACTTTGCGAATGACTGCACTGAAGCTTGGCTAGGCTGTTCACACGGTGATCGCATGTGTGACCATTTTTTTTCTCACTGAACACATCACCTCTTCGCAAACTTTAGCTTTTTGTTTCTTTTTCGGCTGCCAACAACTTCATACCACAGCTTACAGAATCATCATCAGCCTGACTACGCTTACTGCAGGACAAAGGCCTCTCCCATGCTCCGCCAGTTAACCCAGTCCTGTGCTTGCTGCTGCCAATTTATACCCGCAAACTTCTTAATGTCATCTGCCCACCTAACCTTCTGCCTCCCCCTAACCCGCTTGCCTTCTCTGGGAATCCAGTTAGTTACCCTTAACGACCAGTGGTTATCCTGTCTACGCGCTACATGCTCGGCCCATGTCCATTTCTTCTTCTTGATTTCAGCTATGATATCCTTAACCCCTGTTTGTTCCCTAATCCACTCTGCTCTCTTCTTGTCTCTTAAGGTTACACCTACCATTTTTCTTTCCATTGCTCGCTGCGTCGTCCTCAATTTAAGCTGAACCCTCTTTGTAAGTCTCCAGGTTTCTGCTCCGTAACTAAGCACCGGCAAGATGCAGCTGTTATATACCTTTCTCTTGAGGGATAGTGGCAATCTACCTGTCATAATTTGAGAGTGCTTGCCAAATGTGCTCTACCCCATTCTTATTCTTCTAGTTACTTCAATCCCATGGTTCGGCTCCGCGGTTATTACTTGCCCTAAGTAGACATAGTCTTTTACAACTTGAAGTGCACTATTACCTATCTCGAAGCGCTGCTCTTTCCGAGGTTGTTGTACATTACTTTCGTTTTCTGCAGATTCATTTTAAGACCTACCTTTCTGCTCTCCTTGTCTAACTCCGTAATCATGAGTTGCAATTCGTCCCCTGAGTTACTCAGCAATGCAATGTCATCGGCGAAGCGCAGGTTACTAAGGTACTCTCCATTAACTCTTATCCCTAACTGTTTCCTTTCTAGGCTTCTGAAAACCTCCTGTAAGCACGGGGTAATTAATTAGCATTGGGGAGATTGTGTCGCCCTGCCTTACACCCTTCTTGATTGGTATTCTGTTGCTTTCTTTATGAAGCACTATGGTAGCAGTTGATCCCCTGTAGATTTCTTCCAGGATGTTTATATATACTTCATCGACGCCCTGATTCCGCAGTGTCTGCTTGACGGCTGATATTTCTACTGAATCAAACGCCTTCTCGTAATCTATGAAGGCTATGTATAGTGGTTGGTTATATTCTGAGCATTTCTCTATTACCTGATTGATAGTATGAATGTGGTTGATTGTTGAGTAGCCTGTTCGAAATCCTGCTTGTTCCTTTGGTTGATTGAATTCTAATGTTTTCTTTACTTTGTTGGCAATTACTTTTGTAAATAGCTTGTATACTACAGAGAGCAAGCTAATCGGCTTGTAGTTCTTCAAGTCCTTGTCATCTCTTTTCTTATGTATTAAAATGATGTTAGCGTTCTTCCAAGACTCTGGTACTCTTCCCGTCAGGAGACACCTCGTAAACGAGGTGGCTAGTTTTTCTAACACAATCTGTCTTCCATCTTTCACCAGACCTGATGTTACCTCATCCTCACCAGCAGGTTTGCCTCTTTGCATGCTCTCCAAAGCTTGTCTGACTTCTTCTATCATCTGGGGTGTCATCTAGGTTACTGCTGGTTCTTTTAAATTCGTGGTTGTCCCGGCTACTGCACAGATCTCTGTAAAACTCCTATGCTATTTTAACTATCCATATTGTCACGGGGTCGTGACGTGGCCGAAGACAGCAGACTTCGTGTTGGGATTGAACTGTTTATTTGGGCGAACCTGTGCCCGGTGAACGGAAAGTACAATTACAGCAGCAGTCTCGCACAGATTGCAGTCTCGGACTAATAGCGGCGAACGGAGCGTCGGCCTTCGATCAACAACTGACAAGCGGCGAAGCGCGTCGGAATTTATACTCTTGCCGTCGAATGTTCTAGCGTTATCGCTGGCAGTGGCGTAGGTTCCAGAACAATCTGCACCGTTCGCACAGTGGGCGTGATCTTATCGAAATGATCTACTACAGTCCGGAACCTTCTCGAAAGCTGCAGGCGCGGTTTGCGCTGAGAATCGTGTGGTGTTTTGGGACGATAACAGAAACTTGGGAAATGGAACGTGGCATTGCCCCCCTCTGAAAAAAGGCATCGTCCCGATGCTTTAACTAAAGATGAAAGTACAATAATAATGCAAGAAAGTACAATGAATAAATTACGATACAACAATAATGCAAAAAACACTGTTTCAGTTTGTTAACGCGCATGAAACGGCTTGAGGCACGCGACATGGACGACTTCAGGTCGCGATCGGCGTCGTTGAGAGTTCGTGATGCCGTCGGGGACAACCTCGTAATCAAGTGGGCCGAGACGTCGAACCACCCTGTA